ACACACACACACACACACACACACACACACAGACTAGGTGAATGGGTTCATACACAGTGCTTACTGTATGTGTGTGTGATAATCATTTCATGTAAATACATGACTCTCGTCATGAAGCGTTAGTAGAAGCATAGCTTCTCCCTTGTGATTTGAAGTGAGGGAGTTGCAATCTGTAACCACACCGATAGATGCCACTAAATGCTACACACTGGACCTTTAACTAGCTGTAACGTTTAGTTAATTAATCGATAAGCTGACAGATAACGCATATGCAGCTGTTTTGATAATGTTTTCCTGCTGTAAGTTCATTTTATAGTTTAGGAGCTACTTGGATATACCACATGGGCTCTGAGTGATATTTTCTGACATTTAATGGACCAATTATCAGCAGATTAATCAATAATAGAAAGGCTCAAGCCACATAATAGTGACTGATTGTAGATCTGGGTCAGGGTTTGCAGTGACAACATAAAGATTTCTCTCAGTGTTGTTTCTCAGCTGGAAGGAGGGGAGCTCCAGCAGTGTAATGACCTAACAGATACTTTCAAATGCCAACATCATGATGTCATTAAAGATAACGCGCAGCCACTAGTGACTGGCAAAACACTTCCAGACATTCAGCGGCTGAAACTCTCTCTCCTTAAGTCAGTCTCCTCTTCTCTCTTTCCTTTTGCCATCCTCCTTCGCTTGTCCTCTTCCTCTCCATCTTTCCTTACTATCCTTTCTTTCTTCATCCTCCTCCCTGCTCTTCTCTTTACTCCTCACTCTCCTCCTTTGTATGCCCATCCTTGTTGTCTTCTTTTCTTGTTCAGTCCTTCACCTGCTCATCCCCTATTCACTTCTCTCCTCCTGTCTATCTGATGTAACCAGTGGAACTATAACACTGCTATCTATAAATACCCACTCATTTCTCTCACTGTCAAACAGGAAGTCTCTCTTTTGCTCTCATCCACTTCCTTCCATCTATTACTTATATTCTTACCGAGGGATTCTCTCACTCTCGGCCTCTGGCTGGATTGGGCTGCAACGTCTTACTGTGAATATATCGTGTGTGTGTGTGAAGGTAATCTGAATCCAGCATGGGAATGGCGGACTCCACCACAAACTGCTTGTTGCGTCAAATTCATTGCTTAGAAAATGTTGACCATAAATAGCTGCCGTATCTATCTCCATTAACATCACATCTTTCTTTTTTTGTTAGTTTATATTTTCTGTAACTTTTTTTCTACTTTCTTTTTCCAGAGTTTCTCTATGCCTCCTTCCTGATTTTTTTCCCCTTAGCTTTATCGCTGCTAGGCCAATATCCATCATACTCTCTCTCTCTCTCTCTCTCTCTCTCTCTCTCTCTCTCTCTCTCTCTCTCTCTACCCATCTTGTCCCTTCCCCAGGGGGATATTTCATGCTGTGTTCTCACCTCCGTTTTAACAGAAAGACAAGAACAACACCCGGCTCCCTCACCAACACGCTCTCCAAATTTTAAATATGGCCAGTCGGGCGTGTCAGCTTGCCCTCTACATGCACTCTCTCTCTCTCTCTCTCTCTCTCTCTCTCTCTCTCTCTCTCTCTCTCTCTCTCTCATATATTTAATATGATTGGTTACATTTAAGATTGCACAGTATGGTAAATGCTACACACTGGACCGTTAACTAGCTGAGGATTGAGATGGTGAAATCCTCATATTGCTATCACTTTGACAGATATTGCATTAGGATTCCTGATCTGTGTATGATTTATTGATTTTTGCATGAAATTGAAATGAAATTTTCACTGAAAAAACTTCAAAATCACAATGATGTGAAATTTATTGGGGTCTGTAACAAACAAAAATTTTTTCTTACGTGTGGAGAATAAGATTTCTTCTTTGCATCTCTTCAGAACTACAGTACGTCAAATAATATTAAAGAAAAATATTTTACCCTTATCCAGAAATTGCAGGTTCTGCGATTTGCATATTGCACTTGGCCATATTGCAGTTTTAATAATATTTTGATCCATTAAAGGGAAAAAGCAGCAATCAGTGTCAGGCTTTATGACATTTTAACCATTAAAAGCATTAAATATGCCATGTTATTGATACAAAGAGCTAGGTTTTGGTATATTTTCAGCTAAAAAGGATTAGTTGATCAAGAGAAGATGAAAATAATATTTTAAGTCATTTTTTAAAACAAGAGTGCCAAATCTTATTGACCAGACAGTTAATTGTGAAATTATTGATAATGAAAACAGTCATCAGTTGCAGCCCTAATTCACACTGACAACCTGTATATTAATCTAAATTATAGATTACTGATTCTATTAGACCTCCGGGTATTCAGTTTTAGATTTTTATTGTAAGAATCCAACAAATTTCCACATGTGCGTCTCCGCCAGCTGCTTGTCAGCATTCATCAGATATCGGCATGCTCGGCAGGAATAATCAGGCTTTCAGCCATGAAACACAATTACTCTCACATTTGTCTGCCAAGTACATTACACGCACAAGTAGTCTGACTTGTTGTATGTGTGTGTTTCACCTCACAGATAAGACTGACAGCCTGGTGGGGGGGGCAAAGCTGGTTTAGAGAGCAACACGTTGGATTGTTGATACTTCAGCCTTGACTTGAACAGACAAAGCTAATTTGGAGCTAAACCTGCTCAGTCTGTTCTAATAATGACGGTGTTAGCAATGATAGCAATGAATGTATGGTAACTATTTCATAGTTAATAATAAACCAGTTAATCTATACCTTCATCTGTATCTCTTCAACCAACTAAATGATCTGTATCTATAGCTGTATTCAGAATGGGCGGGGCCTAAACAGAAAGTGGGCAGGACTAGCCTGAAGTTGTTCATTTAAGTTGGATATGGGTTAATCAGAAGTTGTTATATTTATCAGAACTATTTAGAAGTATAAAAGTTGTTATATTTAAGTATAAATATTGCCCTTTTGTCAAACCTTTAACAATGAACCACAGACATTTGTGTTAAAATACATACTTGTTAATGTTACCCATTCATTTGTCTAAACTACCGGTATCTCCTGTCTTTACCTGGATACAGCAGCTCTGACTGCAGTGAGTTAAATCAGTCCGTCAGATATATAAGCTGTCCGTCTGTGTGAGAGACCTGCAGCTCACCTGTACCTGTAGCTTAATGAATGGATGTGTGATTAGCAAAGGCTAACGCTGAGCCAACTGTCACTGTGTGTGTGTGTGTGTGTGTGTGTGTGTGTGTGTGTGTGTGTAAGCAACACAGGTGAAAGAGCAACACACAAACAGCTGGCAGCATGTCGCATTATCCCGTGGTAATGAGCATTTACCAACACCTTAATAATCCATAATCTGGAGCTACGTGTGCATAACCTTCTGACTGTTGGCATCACTGTGTGTGTGTGTGTGTGTGTGTGTGTGTGTGTGTGTGTGTGTGTGTGTGTGTGTGTTCGCGTGCGTGTGTGTGTTTTCTCACAGTCAGGTGTGAATGTGTGGACAGCTGCAGGGTTGACTCTCACCTCCTGCCCTCCTTCTGTATGTCCTCCCTCCTCTCTCTCTCTCTCTCTCTCTCTCTCTCTCTCTCTCTCTCTCTCTCTCTCTCTCTCTCAAACCTTCATCTGTTCAGCCTCGTCTGAGCCCCCAGTGACACCGACACGCTGCGTACTCTAACGGCTTCCTCCTCTCTTATAAGACGACGGCAGACTGTTGGTTTGTTTGTTTCTGTGATGGCATGCGGACCCCATCTGCTAAGAAAGGCAGAAAAAAGACAGAGAGAAGTCCTGTGAATATATTTGAACATTTTTGTGAATGGGATACCCTCCTCACTAACACACAACAGGATGACATTTCTTTCCGCCCCTTTTGTTCCCACATTCACTCCGTTACAGTTCATCCCAGAGGTGTTGGATGGGGTTGAGGTCTGTGCAGGCCAGTCAAAGATCTTCCTCATCAAACTGGGAAAACCTTAGATAGACCATCTATCTGTCCATCAGCCTATCTTTGTGGACCTGGCTTTGTGCATGGAGCCATTGTCATGATGAAACTGGAAACTGTTAAGCTATTGTCTAAAGGCAGGGCTGTGTGGAGCTGTATGAACAGAACAGTCATTCACATAAATTCTCTTATTGGACTAATTTGCAGTCAATAAAATAATAGTGAAATTAAAATATTCCCCATTTTTCCGGGGACATGCTGGAACCCCCAGATTGAGAACCACTTTTAAAGTGCCATGATCTTGTAGTGAATAATTTACTGTATCATTACACCTATTGACAAACATGGCCGACACACAGGCTTCTTCTTAACAGTGTGTTGATTAAGAACAGCTGCTAGACAGCAGTGTTGTAAATGTAAACTAATACAAACTCAGATCCTGTTCTAAGCTTTTTCTCTGTTTTTATGCATATGGTGGTGTGTTAAAAAAAAACACTTGCACTATATCCTGTTGCCTTGTTTGCAGTATCACTATAGATTGAATCATAACAAATGATGATGATCCGTATCAAATCACTGGATTCTGCTGATACACTCAATAATTTCCCACTGTGTTCAATGCTGTTCAAAATCCAACCATCTACTCAGATTCTCTCGTTGTTCATGTCATTCATTCAAAGTGACATTTAAGTGCCGTCTCTATCATGTCCTCCTCTTTCTCATTCTCTGTTGACTGCAGGACTATAAAAATGAGATTTTATTAAGGCTCATGAAAAGCTAACAAACCAGGAAGTACTGTTGGCCTGCTAATTTCCCTGTAAATCAAATCTGTTTAATATTTGTGCGTATGTCTGAGATCAGAAAGAATCAGAATCTGAAACACGTGTTAATGACAACAACATGTGTATTGTTATATGACACAAAAATACTTCAATTAAAGGCAACGTAAAGCACTGATCCATATCCTGATAGAAAGATTTATTCCTTTGTCCTTTATGAGCAGGCGGAGCATATGAAATCGTTGTAATTGCTGCTGATAAGCTGGACCTGATTTAAGAACAGTGCAGTAACAGCTGCCTCTCTCTGTTTGTGTGCAG